TTCTAAAACCGGCAGATAAACACACAGTGGATTTTACAGGAATAGTCAGTATTTGTGCTTGACTGTTGAATAACAAAGCTAAGCACTGTGTTCTGCATGTTAGAAATGTTTTGACGGGTTGAAAGTGCACTTCACAAACAGCTCTCTCTAATTCGGTTCTGTCATAAATACAGCCATTAGTCTGTCACAAAGTGACAAGGCAATTGTTTGGATGTTTTGTAATTAAAATGGTTCATGTGATAAGCCAGAAAGAATGCATGGGTAACTTCACACTAGAAGTGTGCATCAAGACAGGGATCCTGTGGGACACAGCAAAAAAAAAGTCATAGCAGAGGGCAGGTTTTACTCCCATGCAGGTGAGAGTGGGCCCTTTTGAGTCTGGTCCCTCTCGAGATTTCTTCTTCATGCTGTCTCAGGGAGTTTTTTCTCACCAATGCTGCCTCTGATTTGTTCATTAGGGATCTAAACCTACATCTGGATTTTTTTTGTGAGTGTCTATTATTAAAAGTGCTATACAACAAATAACTTGAAATAAAAATGTACCTTTTGCTAGGTTAAAAAGACAATAGACAAAAATAACTTACTTCTGCAATAAATCAATCACAACTCTTTCTTCATAACAATTTTATTGAGCTGAATATGTCCTATTAATCTGGGAAAATCTGTGATTTGAAAAAAATTAAAAAATAAAATAATAATAATAATATGGGGCCTAAGACAGAACCTTGTGGGACAACAAATAGCACTATCAAATTGGTAACTGCCTGTCAAGTAATATCTAAGCTGGCCAAGTCCTTTTCTGTCTAAATGGACTGTGTTTTCAAGTTTGTCTAACCACTTTCTCCACATTCTCAAACCACACTCTAAAGTGCAGTGCTTAATGCTCAGCATATGTTTTATCAGGACCGATCCAATAATCACAGTTGTAGTCCATAGCATAGGTCAAAGATCCTGCAGGGAGCATTAAACAAGAAATATCCGTAATCAAAAAACATGGGAAGTAGGCAAGGTTAAACCAGGAAACATGGATCATGGAAACTTGGAAATGGGCCTAATGACACTAATGAATGATAAGACTTTACAATAAAACAAAAATGTAAATGAATAAACTAATCACTGAGTTAACACAGAACAGGTGAACACAGTTGGATATCTCACCAATGACAGGACAGAGGTGGAGACAGGACAGAAACCAATGCAAAGGAAAATGGTCATAACATAAAAAAAAGAGAAAGTCAAAGCAAATGAGAGCAGCACTGGGAAATGTGCCACATGCATGAGAGGGGTAAATTGTGACGCACACCTTTTTGTGTACTCCTCCATGCAATTTCCTCCATCATTCGTAATGTGTTCACTTAATAAGGACACTTTTTTTTTTACTTATAATAATAAAGAATTTCTGTATGTAATTTTGTTTGTGAAATATCATTTGCCAAATCTACATATTAGTCCTTGAAATTTGATTAACTATAAATAGCTCTCGATAATGGACTCAGACTTTTAGACTTTTCTGATTTATTAGTAAGTCTAGTGTATTTTTAGAGCTTTTTCAGCTCTATTAATAAAAGTACAAACATCAATATTGTCCATGTGCTGTACTCATTATGATTGTTGACCAGTGGCAAGGGTGTACTTATAATATTGAACAAGTGTCTGACATTGTCCATGTCTGTGTTTAGGCATTTCTACTCAAACAATGATTCTGAAATTCTGTATGAAATAAATTAGATGGTGTTAGATTAACTGCTGCAGTGTGGACTCAGGTGAACTCAGATGGAGTATATTTCTCACTAGTAATTATACTGAGTGCAAGAGAGAAACCAGCATAAATAAAACTTGGCTCTTAATTAGATTCACTGCCAACAAACCAATGCCTTTGTTCTCAAGTATAGGACCTTCACAAACACACCAATCCATGTAGAGAAAACCACAGCTGTCAAAATATCAGACACAAAGAAATGATATTACCCTGCACTTCATCTGCTGCAGTTAGCCAAAGAAATGACAATTGCTAAAACAGCAATACAGCATAGTAATAGTCAGATTTCTAGGGCAAATTTCTAAAACCAAGAAGATTTACCACATTGGATTTGTTTTATCCACCTTCGACTGGTTTCTTGTTTTGCCCTGAAGACCTGTTTTACTGTCATGGTATTTAAGTGAACTAGTGGCATTCTATAAAGCTCTTTGTTTATAAGGTACAGGATGTGGGTTCTTAGTGTAGGGCAGGAGTTTTCAGTCGTATCTGCAAAGGGCCGGTAGGGGTGCAGGCTTTCATTATGGCAAAACTGGAGGCACAATTGATAGTTGATGGAAGAACTAGAAGAACAAACAAGTGACCTTTGTCACAAGTAACAACAGATTAAACAAGTGAAAGGCTCTGCCTTGGTTGGCCCTTTCTGGATAAGACTGAAGACCTCTGGTTTAGGGGTTCTCAAAACTTTTGCATCTAGGGACCCTTTTTAAGTGTAAAAGAAACACAGACCAGACTACAGATTCCATCTCTTCCTGGGGGATCTCCAGATGTTCCTAGGCCAACTGTGAAATATAATCTTCCCAGCAGGTACTGGATATTCCCCAGGGTCTCTGTCTAGAGGGATGTTCCTGATATAGATGTAGTGGGAGGCAACCAGCGGGCAATAATTGTAATTGCCCCGAACCACCACAGTTGGCTCCTCTCAGTTTGGAGGAGCAGCAGCTCTATTCAGAGACTCTCCCAGATTTCCAAACTCCTCACCCTATCATAGTCAGTATGCCCAGCAGACCCTGCAGAGGAACCTCATTTCTGTCACCTATATTTGCAACCTTATTCTTTCAGTCAGTACCCACATCTCATGACCATAGGTGAGGATATGGACATAGATTGACAGGTAAACAGAGAGTGTCTTCTGCAAACTGGAGACTAGATGGCACAAAGTAGTGACCTAGATACCCCATACTCCTGCAGTACCTCCAACAACAAATGTTGAGGCACACAATCATATGCCTGCACTAAATCCACAAAACACATGTAGACTGGATTAGCTCCCTCACAAAACTGTAATAGAGTAAAGAGCTCCATTGTTCCCTCTGAATCCTTGAATTAACTATTGGACATAGTCTCCTCTCCAGAACCCTGGCATGGATTTTCCTAAGTATGATTCCTATATAATTGGACACATCCTCTGGTCCCCTTTTGTAAAAAAAAAAAAAAAAAAAAAATTAGGGCCACCATCCCAGTTTGCCAGCCCAAAGG